ATATAAATTTCTCACATATATATATAAATTTCACACATATACATATACATATATAAATATATAAAAGCTATATAAATATAAATTTCACACACATATATATATATATATATATAAATATATGTTTTGGTTCGGGTTTTTTTCGAGTTCGGGTTACCCGAAATCCGACGGGTTCGGGGATGGTATTGTTATTTCTAACCCCGCTTAATTCGGGTTCGGGTTCGGGTATTGAATTTCGGGTTCGGGGTTGGGTAAGTAAAAACCCGACCCCGCCCCGCCCCGTTGCCATTCCTAGTTCCTCTTGATTGCCATGAATTTTTCAATATTTTGTCTTTCCCGTTAAAATAGTTTTCAAACTGCAATTTATAACTGGTAAGAAATGATCAATTTAAAACTCCATGTTATTTTCAACTCCAATTAAAACTGCTAATTGTAATGCAAATCCCTGATCTATATTGCACACGAAATACTAAGGTGTAAGTAATTAATCGGTAACAGCCGACCAAAAATAATTTACTTTTACTCTACTCCGGTACTAATAAGTGCAATTTCATTTTTGGGGAAAAAGAGAGAGGTGCAACACGAGGACTTCCCAGGAGGTCACCCATCCTAGTACTACTCTTGCCCAATCACGCTTAACTGCGGAGTTCTGATGGGATCCAGTGCATTAGTGCTGGTATGATCGCACCTACATGTGTACGCGCGATCAAATGCTTTAAGTCGTAATTATCCGTTCTTGGCGTAACTTTAGGACCGTACGTCGGAATTCGACGCATAATATATGCATTTGGGGCAGAATCTCCCATTCTATCCATTGTGACAGACTACGTCTGTCAGTTCCGCCCCAAGAATCCATAAAAACAACCTCTACTGTTTCGAGTCCGGGAATGCTCCTGGCGTGGGAAAAAAAGAGAGGTGCAACACGAGGACTTCCCAGGAGGTCACCCATCCTAGAACTACTGTCGCCCAAGCGCGCTTAACTGCGAAGTTCTGATGGGATCCGGTGCATTAGTGCTGGTATGATCGCACCTGCATGTGTACGCGCGATCAAATACTTTAAGTCGTAATTATCCGTTCTTGGCGTAACTTTAGGACCGTACGTCGGAATTCGACGCATAATATATGCATTTGGGGCAGAATCTCCCATTCTATCCATTGTGACAGACTACGTCTGTCAGTTCCGCCCCAAGAATCCATAAAAACAACCTCTACTGTTTCGAGTCCGAGAATGCTCCTGGCGTGGGAAAAAGAGAGAGGTGCAACACGAGGACTTCCCAGGAGGTCACCCATCCTAGTACTACTCTTGCCCAATCACGCTTAACTGCGGAGTTCTGATGGGATCCAGTGCATTAGTGCTGGTATGATCGCACCTGCATGTGTACGCGCGATCAAATGCTTTAAGTCGTAATTATCCGTTCTTGGCGTAACTTTAGGACCGTACGTCGGAATTTGACGCATAATATATGCATTTGGGGCAGAATCTCCCATTCTATCCATTGTGACAGACTACGTCTGTCAGTTCCGCCCCAAGAATCCATAAAAACAACCTCTACTGTTTCGAGTCCGGGAATGCTCCTGGCGTGGGAAAAAGAGAGAGGTGCAACACGAGGACTTCCCAGGAGGTCACCCATCCTAGAACTACTGTCGCCCAAGCACGCTTAACTGCAAAGTTCTGATGGGATCCGGTGCATTAGTGCTGGTATGATCGCACCTGCATGTGTACGCGCGATCAAATACTTTAAGTCGTAATTATCCGTTCTTGGCGTAACTTTAGGACCGTACGTCGGAATTCGACGCATAATATATGCATTTGGGGCAGAATCTCCCATTCTATCCATTGTGACAGACTACGTCTGTCAGTTCCGCCCCAAGAATCCATAAAAACAACCTCTACTGTTTCGAGTCCGAGAATGCTCCTGGCGTGGGAAAAAGAGAGAGGTGCAACACGAGGACTTCCCAGGAGGTCACCGATCCTAGTACTACTCTCGCCCAAGCACGCTTAACTGCGGAGTTCTGATGGGATCCAGTGCATTAGTGCTGGTATGATCGCACCTGCATGTGTACGCGCGATCAAATGCTTTAAGTCGTAATTATCCGTTCTTGGCGTAACTTTAGGACCGTACGTCGGAATTCGACGCATAATATATGCATTTGGGGCAGAATCTCCCATTCTATCCATTGTGACAGACTACGTCTGTCAGTTCCGCCCCAAGAATCCATAAAAACAACCTCTACTGTTTCGAGTCCGGGAATGCTCCTGGCGTGGGAAAAAGAGAGAGGTGCAACACGAGGACTTCCCAGGAGGTCACCCATCCTATTACTACTCTCTCCCAAGCACGCTTGACTGCGGAGTTCTGATGGGATCCGGTGCATTAGTGCTGGTATGATCGCACCTGCATGTGTACGCGCGATCAAATGCTTAAAGTCGTAATTATCCGTTCTTGGCGTAACTTTAGGACCGTACGTCGGAATTCGACGCATAATATATGCATTTGGGGCAGAATCTCCCATTCTATCCATTGTGACAGACTACGTCTGTCAGTTCCGCCCCAAGAATCCAGAAAAACAACCTCTACTGTTTCGAGTCCGGGAATGCTCCTGGCGTGGGAAAAAGAGAGAGGTGCAACACGAGGACTTCCCAGGAGGTCACCCATCCTAGTACTACTCTCGCCCAAGCACGCTTAACTGCCGAGTTCTGATGGGATCCGGTGCATTAGTGCTGGTATGATCGCACCTGCATGTGTACGCGCGATCAAATGCTTTAAGTCGTAATTATCCGTTCTTGGCGTAACTTCAGGACCGTACGTCGGAATTCGACGCATAATATATGCATTTGGGGCAGAATCTCCCATTCTATCCATTGTGACAGACTACGTCTGTCAGTTCCGCCCCAAGAATCCATAAAAACAACCTCTACTGTTTCGATTCCGGGAATGCTCCTGGCGTGGGAAAAAGAGAGAGGTGCAACACGAGGACTTCCCAGGAGGTCACCCATCCTAGAACTACTGTCGCCCAAGCCCGCTTAACTGCGAAGTTCTGATGGGATCCGGTGCATTAGTGCTGGTATGATCGCACATGCATGTGTACGCGCGATCAAATACTTTAAGTCGTAATTATCCGTTCTTGGCGTAACTTTAGGACCGTAAGTCGGAATTCGACGCATAATATATGCATTTGGGGCAGAATCTCCCATTCTATCCATTGTGACAGACTATGTCTGTCAGTTCCGCCCCAAGAATCCAGAAAAACAACCTCTACTGTTTCGAGTCCGGGAATGCTCCTGGCGTGGGAAAAAGAGAGAGGTGCAACACGATGACTTCCCAGGAGGTCACCCATCCTAGTACTACTCTCGCCCAAGCACGCTTAACTGGGGAGTTCTGATGGGATCCGGTGCATTAGTGCTGGTATGATGGCACCTGCATGTGTACGCGCGATCGAATGCTTTAAGTCGTAATTATCCGTTCTTGGCGTAACTTTAGGACCGTACGTCGGAATTCGACGCATAATATATGCATTTGGGGCAGAATCTCCCATTCTATCCATTGTGACACACTACGTCTGTCAGTTCCGCCCCAAGAATCCAGAAAAACAACCTCTACTGTTTCGAGTCCGGGAATGCTCCTGGCGTGGGAAAAAGAGGGAGGTGCAACACGAGGACTTCCCAGGAGGTCACCCATCCTAGTACAACTCTCGCCCAAGCACGCTTAACTGCGGAGTTCTGATGGGATCCGGTGCATTAGTGCTGGTATGATCGCACCTGCATGTGTACGCGCGATCAAATGCTTTAAGTCGTAATTATCCGTTCTTGGCGTAACTTTAGGACCGTACGTCGGAATTCGACGCATAATATATGCATTTGGGGCAGAATCTCCCATTCTATCCATTGTGACAGACTACGTCTGTCAGTTCCGCCCCAAAAATCCAGAAAAACAACCTCTACTGTTTCGAGTCCGGGAATGCTCCTGGCGTGGGAAAAAGAGAGAGGTGCAACACGATGACTTCCCAGGAGGTCACCCATCCTAGTACTACTCTCGCCCAAGCACGCTTAACTGGGGAGTTCTGATGGGATCCGGTGCATTAGTGCTGGTATGATGGCACCTGCATGTGTACGCGCGATCGAATGCTTTAAGTCGTAATTATCCGTTCTTGGCGTAACTTTAGGACCTTACGTCGGAATTCGACGCATAATATATGCATTTGGGGCAGAATCTCCCATTCTATCCATTGTGACACACTACGTCTGTCAGTTCCGCCCCAAGAATCCAGAAAAACAACCTCTACTGTTTCGAGTCCGGGAATGCTCCTGGCGTGGGAAAAAGAGAGAGGTGCAACACGAGGACTTCCCAGGAGGTCACCCATCCTATTAATACTCTCTCCCAAGCACGCTTGACTGCGGAGTTCTGATGGGATCCGGTGCATTAGTGCTGGTATGATCGCACCAGCATGTGTACGCGCGATCAAATGCTTTAAGTCGTAATTATCCGTTCTTGGCATAACTTTAGGACTGTACGTCGGAATTCGACGCATAATATATGCATTTGGGGCAGAATCTCCCATTCTATCCATTGTGACAGACTACGTCTGTCAGTTCCGCCCCAAGAATCCAGAAAAACAACCTCTACTGTTTCGAGTCCGGGAATGCTCCTGGCGTGGGAAAAAGAGAGAGGTGCAACACGAGGACTTCCCAGGAGGTCACCCATCCTAGTACTACTCTCGCCCAAGCACGCTTAACTGGGGAGTTCTGATGGGATCCGGTGCATTAGTGCTGGTATGATCGCACCTGCATGTGTACGCGCGATCAAATGTTTTAAGTCGTAATTATCCGTTCTTGGCGTAACTTTAGGACCGTACGTCGGAATTCGACGCATGATATATGCATTTGGGGCAGAATCTCCCATTCTATCCATTGTGACAGACTACGTCTGTCAGTTCCACCCCAAGAATCCAGAAAAACAACCTCTACTGTTTCGAGTCCGGGAATGCTCCTGGCGTGGGAAAAAGAGAGAGGTGCAACACGAGGACTTCCCAGGAGGTCACCCATCCTAGTACTACTCTCGCCCAAGCACGCTTAACTGGGGAGTTCTGATGGGATCCGGTGCATTAGTGCTGGTATGATCGCACCTGCATGTGTACGCGCGATCAAATGTTTTAAGTCGTAATTATCCGTTCTTGGCGTAACTTTAGGACCGTACGTCGGAATTCGACGCATAATATATGCATTTGGGGCAGAATCTCCCATTCTATCCATTGTGACAGACTACGTCTGTCAGTTCCGCCCCAAGAATCCAGAAAAACAACCTCTACTGTTTCGAGTCCGGGAATGCTCCTGGCGTGGGAAAAAGAGAGAGGTGCAACACGATGACTTCCCAGGAGGTCACCCATCCTAGTACTACTCTCGCCCAAGCACGCTTAACTGGGGAGTTCTGATGGGATCCGGTGCATTAGTGCTGGTATGATGGCACCTGCATGTGTACGCGCGATCAAATGCTTTAAGTCGTAATTATCCGTTCTTGGCGTAACTTTAGGACCGTACGTCGGAATTCGACGCATGATATATGCATTTGGGGCAGAATCTCCCATTCTATCCATTGTGACAGACTACGTCTGTCAGTTCCGCCCCAAGAATCCAGAAAAACAACCTCTACTGTTTCGAGTCCGGGAATGCTCCTGGCATGGGAAAAAGAGAGAGGTGCAACACGAGGACTTCCCAGGAGGTCACCCATCCTAGTACTACTCTCGCCCAAGCACGCTTAACTGGGGAGTTCTGATGGGATCCGGTGCATTAGTGCTGGTATGATCGCACCTGCATGTGTACGCGCGATCAAATGCTTTAAGTCGTAATTATCCGTTCTTGGCGTAACTTTAGGACCGTACGTCGGAATTCGACGCATAATATATGCATTTGGGGCAGAATCTCCCATTCTATCCATTGTGACAGACTACGTCTGTCAGTTCCGCCCCAAGAATCCAGAAAAACAACCTCTACTGTTTCGAGTCCGGGAATGCTCCTGGCGTGGGAAAAAGAGAGAGGTGCAACACGAGGACTTCCCAGGAGGTCACCCATCCTAGTACTACTCTCGCCCAAGCACGCTTAACTGGGGAGTTCTGATGGGATCCGGTGCATTAGTGCTGGTATGATCGCACCTGCATGTGTACGCGCGATCAAATGCTTTAAGTCGTAATTATCCGTTCTTGGCGTAACTTTAGGACCGTACGTCGGAATTCGACGCATGATATATGCATTTGGGGCAGAATCTCCCATTCTATCCATTGTGACAGACTACGTCTGTCAGTTCCGCCCCAAGAATCCAGAAAAACAACCTCTACTGTTTCGAGTCCGGGAATGCTCCTGGCGTGGGAAAAAGAGAGAGGTGCAACACGAGGACTTCCCAGGAGGTCACCCATCCTAGTACTACTCTCGCCCAAGCACGCTTAACTGGGGAGTTCTGATGGGATCCGGTGCATTAGTGCTGGTATGATCGCACCTGCATGTGTACGCGCGATCAAATGCTTTAAGTCGTAATTATCCGTTCTTGGCGTAACTTTAGGACCGTACGTCGGAATTCGACGCATAATATATGCATTTGGGGCAGAATCTCCCATTCTATCCATTGTGACAGACTACGTCTGTCAGTTCCGCCCCAAGAATCCAGAAAAACAACCTCTACTGTTTCGAGTCCGGGAATGCTCCTGGCGTGGGAAAAAGAGAGAGGTGCAACACGATGACTTCCCAGGAGGTCACCCATCCTAGTACTACTCTCGCCCAAGCACGCTTAACTGGGGAGTTCTGATGGGATCCGGTGCATTAGTGCTGGTATGATCGCACCTGCATGTGTACGCGCGATCAAATGCTTTAAGTCGTAATTATCCGTTCTTGGCGTAACTTTAGGACCGTACGTCGGAATTCGACGCATAATATATGCATTTGGGGCAGAATCTCCCATTCTATCCATTGTGACAGACTACGTCTGTCAGTTCCGCCCCAAGAATCCAGAAAAACAACCTCTACTGTTTCGAGTCCGGGAATGCTCCTGGCGTGGGAAAAAGAGAGAGGTGCAACACGAGGACTTCCCAGGAGGTCACCCATCCTAGTACTACTCTCGCCCAAGCACGCTTAACTGCGGAGTTCTGATGGGATCCGGTGCATTAGTGCTGGTATGATCGCACCTGCATGTGTACGCGCGATCAAATGCTTTAAGTCGTAATTATCCGTTCTTGGCGTAACTTTAGGACCGTACGTCGGAATTCGACGCATAATATATGCATTTGGGGCAGAATCTCCCATTCTATCCATTGTGACAGACTACGTCTGTCAGTTCCGCCCCAAGAATCCAGAAAAACAACCTCTACTGTTTCGAGTCCGGGAATGCTCCTGGCGTGGGAAAAAGAGAGAGGTGCAACACGAGGACTTCCCAGGAGGTCACCCATCCTAGTACTACTCTCGCCCAAGCACGCTTAACTGCGGAGTTCTGATGGGATCCGGTGCATTAGTGCTGGTATGATCGCACCTGCATGTGTACGCGCGATCAAATGCTTTAAGTCGTAATTATCCGTTCTTGGCGTAACTTTAGGACCGTACGTCGGAATTCGACGCATAATATATGCATTTGGGGCAGAATCTCCCATTCTATCCATTGTGACAGACTACGTCTGTCAGTTCCGCCCCAAGAATCCAGAAAAACAACCTCTACTGTTTCGAGTCCGGGAATGCTCCTGGCGTGGGAAAAAGAGAGAGGTGCAACACGAGGACTTCCCAGGAGGTCACCCATCCTAGTACTACTCTCGCCCAAGCACGCTTAACTGCGGAGTTCTGATGGGATCCGGTGCATTAGTGCTGGTATGATCGCACCTGCATGTGTACGCGCGATCAAATGCTTTAAGTCGTAATTATCCGTTCTTGGCGTAACTTTAGGACCGTACGTCGGAATTCGACGCATAATATATGCATTTGGGGCAGAATCTCCCATTCTATCCATTGTGACAGACTACGTCTGTCAGTTCCGCCCCAAGAATCCAGAAAAACAACCTCTACTGTTTCGAGTCCGGGAATGCTCCTGGCGTGGGAAAAAGAGAGAGGTGCAACACGAGGACTTCCCAGGAGGTCACCCATCCTAGTACTACTCTCGCCCAAGCACGCTTAACTGCGGAGTTCTGATGGGATCCGGTGCATTAGTGCTGGTATGATCGCACCTGCATGTGTACGCGCGATCAAATGCTTTAAGTCGTAATTATCCGTTCTTGGCGTAACTTTAGGACCGTACGTCGGAATTCGACGCATAATATATGCATTTGGGGCAGAATCTCCCATTCTATCCATTGTGACAGACTACGTCTGTCAGTTCCGCCCCAAGAATCCAGAAAAACAACCTCTACTGTTTCGAGTCCGGGAATGCTCCTGGCGTGGGAAAAAGAGAGAGGTGCAACACGAGGACTTCCCAGGAGGTCACCCATCCTAGTACTACTCTCGCCCAAGCACGCTTAACTGCGGAGTTCTGATGGGATCCGGTGCATTAGTGCTGGTATGATCGCACCTGCATGTGTACGCGCGATCAAATGCTTTAAGTCGTAATTATCCGTTCTTGGCGTAACTTTAGGACCGTACGTCGGAATTCGACGCATAATATATGCATTTGGGGCAGAATCTCCCATTCTATCCATTGTGACAGACTACGTCTGTCAGTTCCGCCCCAAGAATCCAGAAAAACAACCTCTACTGTTTCGAGTCCGGGAATGCTCCTGGCGTGGGAAAAAGAGAGAGGTGCAACACGAGGACTTCCCAGGAGGTCACCCATCCTAGTACTACTCTCGCCCAAGCACGCTTAACTGCGGAGTTCTGATGGGATCCGGTGCATTAGTGCTGGTATGATCGCACCTGCATGTGTACGCGCGATCAAATGCTTTAAGTCGTAATTATCCGTTCTTGGCGTAACTTTAGGACCGTACGTCGGAATTCGACGCATAATATATGCATTTGGGGCAGAATCTCCCATTCTATCCATTGTGACAGACTACGTCTGTCAGTTCCGCCCCAAGAATCCAGAAAAACAACCTCTACTGTTTCGAGTCCGGGAATGCTCCTGGCGTGGGAAAAAGAGAGAGGTGCAACACGAGGACTTCCCAGGAGGTCACCCATCCTAGTACTACTCTCGCCCAAGCACGCTTAACTGCGGAGTTCTGATGGGATCCGGTGCATTAGTGCTGGTATGATCGCACCTGCATGTGTACGCGCGATCAAATGCTTTAAGTCGTAATTATCCGTTCTTGGCGTAACTTTAGGACCGTACGTCGGAATTCGACGCATAATATATGCATTTGGGGCAGAATCTCCCATTCTATCCATTGTGACAGACTACGTCTGTCAGTTCCGCCCCAAGAATCCAGAAAAACAACCTCTACTGTTTCGAGTCCGGGAATGCTCCTGGCGTGGGAAAAAGAGAGAGGTGCAACACGAGGACTTCCCAGGAGGTCACCCATCCTAGTACTACTCTCGCCCAAGCACGCTTAACTGCGGAGTTCTGATGGGATCCGGTGCATTAGTGCTGGTATGATCGCACCTGCATGTGTACGCGCGATCAAATGCTTTAAGTCGTAATTATCCGTTCTTGGCGTAACTTTAGGACCGTACGTCGGAATTCGACGCATAATATATGCATTTGGGGCAGAATCTCCCATTCTATCCATTGTGACAGACTACGTCTGTCAGTTCCGCCCCAAGAATCCAGAAAAACAACCTCTACTGTTTCGAGTCCGGGAATGCTCCTGGCGTGGGAAAAAGAGAGAGGTGCAACACGAGGACTTCCCAGGAGGTCACCCATCCTAGTACTACTCTCGCCCAAGCACGCTTAACTGCGGAGTTCTGATGGGATCCGGTGCATTAGTGCTGGTATGATCGCACCTGCATGTGTACGCGCGATCAAATGCTTTAAGTCGTAATTATCCGTTCTTGGCGTAACTTTAGGACCGTACGTCGGAATTCGACGCATAATATATGCATTTGGGGCAGAATCTCCCATTCTATCCATTGTGACAGACTACGTCTGTCAGTTCCGCCCCAAGAATCCAGAAAAACAACCTCTACTGTTTCGAGTCCGGGAATGCTCCTGGCGTGGGAAAAAGAGAGAGG